TTGTTTTGAATTTTGTCTCTGTCACAGAAACCCAATATTGTTTATGCATTTAATGCAATGCAATTCAATATATCTGAGAATATAAAAGCTCTGCTTATATACGTAAATATAATATACCCGATAAACAGATATGTGACATAAGATGCCACCATGTGTATTGCGTTTTCATTTTGAAGGCCAAGATCAAAGTCACAAGTTTGTGTTTTCTTATTTCTATTAGAATATATACGAAATACACAGAATTATATTTTCTAGGCTCTATATATATTTGCTCTCTAGATATATAGATATATATTTGTATGGATAATTTAGAATTTCAAATAATATTTCGTTTGCCAATTTCCTTGCAAATAGTTGGGTAACTCTCACGTCAATCTACATACATATATTATATGATATATAGATATATTCAGCATGTCTCGGCAATTTCCCGAAAATTTCAACGGATTTTCAAATACAAACAGAAAGTAATAAATATACATATACATATTCGTATATATATTATTTATCAGTTCACGTGAGCCATTTTCTGATTCTATTTAGCTTTCTCAAACTGAATACAAAGTTGGATTAGTTCTTTCGAAGATTTCCATATACAAACGAAAACCTAGATAGAGAAATAGCACTTCATATATTTCCGTAGCCCGTTTGTCATATTGAAAGTATCAATTATGCTGATTAGATAATATAAATGAGCGTGGGAGTACACTAGGGGCACGGGGTGAACGAGTGAAATGCTTATCAACTGAAGCGTGCGGCACTCTTGATAATAATATTTGATTGTTGTAAATTGGATTATAGACATATAGAGCTATCGATCTTAGGTTACCAAATGTAACATGTCTTCGACATTTCGTCACCCAACAATCGATCAATTGTAAAATTTACATCTATTCCATATAGTTTATAGACTATACAAATCAACAACAAATGTGTTAGCATCAAAATATTGTAGACATCTAGATATATTCTATTTAAATGCCCAGCGTAATTTTTCAGAGAATTACCGAAAGTTCTCTGAGAGCCAAACGGCCTCAGGTATTATACAAGACATACGTATATACGTGTATATATATATTTGTATATATATATATAAATTTTGTTCAGACAGAGAATTTTGTTAGATACACAAGAAAAGTAAATATGAAAACAATTAAACAGAAAATACATTTTTTGCATTGTTTTCGCTTTTAAAATTGTTGCTCAAGATCTATTTTTTTTTTACTTTCGGGGACAAATAGGATAAATTGGAAATTATATTTGTATAGGTGCAAGATTAGAGAACTAAATTTTACTGTAACATCAAATATTCAGACTTATTTTCTACATTATATTATGCATAGATATTTACATATATTTTTGATCATTATGACTTATATTTTATATTATATGTTATATTTTAAAATTTTAAGTCATATATATCTTAATCTTATCTTATATTTTGTATTTTTTAGTTTATAATTGTTTTTTATTTTAAGAGCATTAGGTTCATGTGATATTTAAATATTTTGCTTCTGTTTTTAACTCAAAAACTCATCGCGTATATCTGCCAAAAGTGACATATAATATATAATTTTTTAGCGTCTTTTTTCCCCTCCAACTCCTTTAACATTCGGACTATCTAGAATATCATATTTAGCATTTCTTTTAAATTAGTTTTTTGTCTTATATATAGACGTCTTTACTCAACTTTTTTATATATTCGAAGCAACAACAAATTTTTCACCCAATTTTTCAATCAACTTTCAAACGAAAAACTTTCACGGTCGCAACTTCAAAATTCAACAACAATAAAACCTTGTGACAGACATTGAAAATCCGCTACGTCCCCTTCATTACCTTAAAATTTGGCAGTTGCGTTACGAAACGGAATAATAATCTCAGAGTCACGCGATAGCGTGTAGGCGATAAAAGCAGCCAAAAAAAAAATCAAACAAAAATAAACAAAACTAAAACTCTCACAAAAACAGTAAGAGCGAGAGAGAGTGGGCGACCTAGAGGGGAGAACGAAGAAGTCAGAGCAGAGCAGAGCATAATCAGTGCGTGTAGTTGAAAAATCGATGTGTAAGCACGAAAGAGTAATTGAAGACCCCAGCAGGAACTGGTTACTCGAATATTTCCCTGTATCTCCCTCTCTCGCTGTTTCCGCTTCGTTTTCTGATTTGCATTGCTTTGCGTTGCACTCACCTTCAGGTTGCCAATCAGCTCCATAAACTGCAATATGTCCGCGAGGCCTGTGTTGAAGCAGGGCTTCTTGCCCGCACTGGAGGCTGCATCGTGGCAGGCAGCTCCTTCGCTGCCCGCTGCTGCTGCGGCTGTGGCAGCTGTTAGACTGCTGCTGCTGCTGCTGCTTCCATCGCTGTTGGTGATTTCCGCTTGGAGAGGTTCGGCTGCCAGGGAGGACATTGCAAATTTTGTTGTTGTCTGCTGTTGTTGTTGCTGCTGTTGGTGCTGTTGCTGCGGATGCGAGGATTTAGCGTTAGTTCCGTTGCACTGCGTATGTAAATGTCGCTGTATGTTGTCCTGGCTACGCTGCTGCTGCTGCAGTATATTGTGTACAAATCGCTTTGATAAATTTACGAACTGCGCCGACTCCGATTTCGATTCACTCGAACAGCAACCGTGCGCTATCGAAGGCGAATTGTGACTGACGCTGTCGCTGAAGTTCAATTCGCTGAACGCCGTTTGACTAGATTGATTTGGTTTTGGTTTTGTAGTTGTAGCTGCTGCTGCTGCTGCTGTTGCCGTGGATGACGTCACGACGACGTTGCTGCTGCTGCTGAGTTGCCTAAGGAACTTGTATATGTCAGCAGCGCCGCCAACGCCACTGCCAGCTGGGCACGCTGCGGCCGTCGCTTTGATCAGTTGCTGTCGTGAGAGCATGGTGAGAGAGTAATTTCGTGAGCGACGGCGAGCTTATCGTTGAGAGAGTGCGACAAAATGTTTAGCTACAAAATTGTGGTCGATGCAAACACGTGAAACGTGTGTGTCCTAAAGAAAGACAGAATGAGAAAGAGAACGTTAGTTTATTTTTTTCTTGTCTAATCAGAATTGCAGGTTTTGCGAGCACTGCTGCTTACAGTTGGACAAACAGTTTACAGATTGTATTTGTATGCTTTGTACATACATACTCTAACGGAAACTGTTTTTGTTTTGGTTACTCAAGCTATGCATTTTTTTCAATTTTAATTAATATTTATGGAACAATAATTAAGGTCTATTTATTTTACTGGTTTTCACTGGAATTTTAATTTAAATGTGTCTTTTCTCATATATGAGTAAGCAATATAAATAATATTTCTGTTTTGGCTTTGCCATTAATACAATTAAAAGAGGGCTGCCTATGGAGTTTACTCAACGTTTATTGTATTATAAGATTTCATTCAATTGTGATTTTTATAATAATTTTTATTGCAAATACATCAATTTATTTTAGTATCATTTATATTGTAAATTTGTATTGCTGTAATTAATTTTTAGTAAATGGAATTTCTCTAATCAAACTCGTGTTTTTTATTACGAGCAAGTCTTGAAGCTATCCTAGCTTCTAGATTTTCAAACCATAGCTTAACGTCATTTAATATTACCCTTTGCAAATTAAATTTCCTAGAGATGTATAAACTTTTTATTGATATTAACCTTAGAAGCAACCCTCGCTTTTACTACATTACACGCAAAAATTGAACATTGATTTACGTTGTTTACGCAATAGTTGCAAATTCGCAGAGACCAAAAACAAATAAAACAAATAATGACTAATATGTAGTATTTATTGATAGATTAATTCAGAAGTTACAGTTAATATGCTTATCGCGAATGTGAATGTATGTTCACTCTTTTTCTTTGCACATACATATATACTTCTTTTATTTATTTTTCTTCTTTTTTTCTAATTTCTATCACCAACCTTGACACCAACACGGCCCGGCAGACGCGTCTGCCCCAGACTTGGACTTTGTTGTTGCGAGCGAGAACCGAGACAATGAAATAGGCTAGGAAATCGGCGAATCGACGACAACCGACTGCGAGGGCTCGCGTGCGCCTTGTGACTATGGCAGCGGCAGCGGCAGCGGCCAGTGGCACTTCAAGGTGACGATGACAAAGTTGCCGTATTTATTTATTTATTTTTTATTTTCGGCTGCTCTTGTTGCTGTTGTTATTATTATTGTTGTTGTTGTTGAGTAAGCACGTAGACCCGAGCTCTGCGGCTGTTTAGCTGTAAATGTGAGCTAACGGCAAATGCGGTCGCCACAGCGGAACTATGAATTTGACAATGGGACAGCGACGACGGCATCGGCTTCGGCGTCGACGATGTCGATGGCAACAATTAAAAATATCACTAAGCTAATTTAGACACATACACACTACACTATATATACTATACTATACAAACACACACACGCGGGCACGCACACGAACACACACATATTTGTACATAAGCGTATGCTAGCGAAATTCATGCTGCTTCTTCATGATGTTTTGGCTCTTGCCTCTATGCGCTTTTCTGTTTAATATCAAGGCAACTTGCTTGTTAATTTACATTTGGCTGCACTAGCAGCGAGTAACAGTAAAATTAGTGCTAGTATTGGTTTTTTTCATTTAGCAAATGCAATTGCACAACAAAAATGTTTTTGGCAAACTAAAACGCGCCGCCGAAGAGATTCGCGACGCCTGCTCTTGACCGATTGTTTGTGGCGGCCGATCGATAACTACACGGCATCGCAGCTGATATGCTGCTTAAAAAACATAAAATTACATTCACTGGTCAGTGAAAAAAGTCAACAATCATCGAAATGGCGCGCCAAAGATGAGCCGAAACCGAAAAAACCGCGCCAAAGCAAATCGAAAATCAAGGTGATGCTGACCGTTTTCTTTGATATTCGTGGTGTTGTTCATTCGGAATTTTTACCGGAAAGCCAAACCGTCAATAAAGAATATTATCTTGGCGTTATGAGGCGTTTGACAGAGAATGTTCGTCGCAAAGGACCAGATTTGTGGCGGAACAACAGTTGGATTTTGTACTACGATAATGCAGCAGCGCACAAAGCCATCATTGTGAACGAGTTTTTGAACAAAAATTCAACAAATATCATCGAACAACCACCGTACTCTCCAGATATGGCCCCGTGTCACTTTTTCCTGTTTCTAAATCTGCTTTGATTGATTGTTCGTTGGAAAAAGTGTATTGCCTCAGAAGGGGATTAATTTGAAACGGATATAATATCTTAAGATGATTGATAAGTTGTTTGTTTAATTTTAAATTTCCGGGTACTTATTTGACATAATGTATTTAGTAACTTGAAGCATTTTCTGGATATGTAAAATATTTTGCCAACTTGACAATTTTATTGATATTCATAAACTTATAGTTTATTTTATTTATATTAATAAACAATACTAATTAAATATCCATTCCATACAAACACTTTCTGCATTTTTTAGTCCATTTATTTTAAAAACGATTCTGTAGTTTTTGCTTGCAATTATCGATAAGTATAGATTCGATAATTGTGCACATGTTTTGGTTTTTACCGTGCTTCGCGGTTTATTCTTATTAAATTGAATATTAATTGTTTAGTTTTTATAATGTTGGCACCTATTAAACATTTATTAAACAATTACCGCATTGTTCTTGCAAGTGGGTCACCACGTCGCAAAGAATTAGTCCAAATGCTGGCAAGTTCAAGTTTAAAATCCAAATAAAGTCCAGTAACTAAAGTTTTGTATATTCACATTTTAGGGGCTGAATGCAGAGCTCTGCCCTTCGACATTTGAAGAGAATCTGGATAGGACAGAATTCAAAACATTCTCCGATTACATAGAGGCGACAGCCTTGGGCAAGGCAGAGGAAGTTTATCAGCGCCTTAGCAGCGACGGCAACGGCGACGGCCGTCAGCTAATTGTCATAGCGGCCGACACTATGGTTACGCTTGGAAACGAGATCTTTGGGAAGCCCAAGGATGCCGATGATGCTGTGCGCATGCTGACAAAGTAGTTAATTATATGAACTGAACCCTCTTCTAGTTTATTTAATATTTCCCTTTTCAGGCTCTCCGGCGCCTGCAATCGTGTTTTTACGGGCGTTGTCCTGAAGCATTCAAATGGCGTTCGGCAATTTACGGACACGGCGGACGTTTACTTTGGCCAGCTGACAGAGGAGCAGATCAGGAGCTATGTCGACAGCGGCGACCCACTGTAAGTACTGGCAGCATGAAGATTTGAGCTAGATTTTTTAGATTTGATTGGATTTTATGAAAATCATTTATTCATTCATTCATACAACATAAATGCATACATATAAACATCGATCAATTTATAATTAATATGGATACCAAAACGAGTCAGAATAATGATTCTGAACATTTATGTATATATTTGTTATGATATAAGAACAAACTTAGATTATCTAAAAATTATTAAAGTTCAATTAATTTATTCTATTTTTTAAATGGAAAATTGGTATCTTTTATTAAGTTTAATAAGTTTTATGCCTAATTTCTTTCTTTCATTTAGTAGTAATCTAATCTAATTTTCAAAAATTATAAATATTTATTTTATTGGAGCCAAATTAATTTGTTTATGTGTTGCTTGATTTGAGAGCTATAAATCTATTTTGAGCAGGTCCTAATGTATATTATAGAAAAAGAAAAAAAAAAAAAAATGTATAAATTATTCGACTTATAGATATCTCGTACTACTAACTAATAAATATAGAGATTTGAAAAGCCGGATAATATTTACTGAAGAGATTGAAGATGGTTAGATAAAAGAGATGATATATATAAAATATTAATAAGAGTTAACGCTTATCTTAAAGAAGACATTGCAGTTACAATTGTAACAGAACATTAGATATGAACTACTTTCACTTCTTTCATCTTCCTTCATTTCACCACAGTCAGAATTCAGTACTGCTTCACCACACCCATATATGTTAGCCTATAGCATTATAGGGAATATTTGTAATCTTGCTAGACTTGACAGTTCACCTGCCTTTCAACTTTTCACCCACAGCGATAAGGCAGGCAGCTATGGGGTGAACGGTCCGGGTGGTGCTCTGATACCTCGCATCGATGGTGATTTCTACTGTGTGATGGGCCTGCCCCTGCATCGTCTGTGCTGCGAGCTGAACAAACTCTTTCTGGAGGATCTATAGTGTATGTGTGTGTGAGGCAGAGAAATGAAATGGAAATAACATTGCCCAATACAATACAATGACAAGAAACTTCGCCAGTTTGCGCTTATCACAATCCAGAATTTGTAATCGTGCGCGTCAGAGGCTACCCTTCAAGTTCTATTAGTCTGTAGAGTTGATAAGGCGTCGTATTTGTAGTCATAATAATTGTTTGTTTTTGTTTGTTCATAGACTAAATCAAGTGTACAAATTAAAAAAAAAAAAAAGAAAAAAAAAAATACAAGAGAAAAAAATGCGGTTTTGCCCTCCTTATTACACTTAAAGTCAAATAGATGTATTTTTGTTACTACCTGCACAGTGGTTGCAAAAATATGTATTATATTTTCTGTTTGTGTAATAATCATATCTCTCATGTAATAAATAACTCTAAAATTATTGCATCAAATTTTAATTTGTATTAGAAAAAAAAATAATACTTATTAAATATAAAATTAAAAAAAAAAAATAAAAATAAATTTAATAAAATTAATAAAAATTATGAATGAAATTATTTTTGAACTGACAAAAAATGTGTTATTCTGTAAAAAAATTTTTTAATTAAATTAAATTATTTAATTTATATATGTAAAAGAATACAGAAATTTTCAATACCTAACAAATGATTTGCAACCACTGTGCTGGAAAGCAACGCATCATTTTGACTCTATCGCTTAAACAAGCGGTCATAAAATCATATGGGAAAAGTAACGTATATTTCCAAAGATAAGGCAAGATTATATATAAAAAAAAAAGAAAACAAAGAAAAGAAAACCTCACCGAACACAATAAATTCAAAGTGTATACACTATTATTAATATATTTTATAGAATCGTTGAACGCAAGCGACGCGCATTCAGTGAGTGATCGTCGGACGTGAAGCAACCTCCTAAAGCGGCTCAGAAAATGACTCAAAAGCCACCAGCGAAACAAGAGAGCACCAGCTCCGCCTATCAGCTGTGGGGCGGACGATTCAGTGAGCAGCCGCACGAAGCGCTGCAGGAGCTGAATATCAGTCTGCCGTACGATGCACGACTCTATGCGGAAGATCTGGATGGCAGCAAGGCCTATGCGGAGGCATTGATGCGTGCGGGTCACTTGAATGCCGCTGAGTGCGATAAGCTGGTGAAGAACTTGGAGCTAATACGCTACGATTGGATCGAACGTCTGGTCAAGTTCGAGCCGAGCGACGAGGATGTGCACACGGTGAACGAACGGTTGCTCGTCCAGCTGACCGGAGATCTGGGTAAGCGTCTGCATACGGGACGCAGTCGCAACGATCAGGTGGTCACCGACATGAAGCTCTGGCTGCGCAAGGCCATACGCGAAACGCTGGACGGCCTTCGTCAGATGATTGAGGCGATTGTCCGGCAAGCCGAGGCACATTTGGGCATCCTGATGCCGGGCTATACGCACCTGCAGCGTGCCCAGCCCGTTCAGTTCTCGCACTGGCTGCTCTCGCATGCCTTTGCCCTGCGCGAGGATTGCCAGCGGCTGACCGAGCTGCGCGATCGCTCGAATGTCTTGCCCCTGGGCAGCGGAGCTCTGGCTGGCAATCCCTTGGGGATTGATCGATTGTGGCTGGCGGAACGTCTAGGATTTGCGGGAGTCACTGGCAACAGCATGCATGCCGTGGGCGATCGTGATTTTGTGGGTGAGTGTGAAGCGCATAGAAAGGCCTTGAAGAGGACTATATCAGATCTCTCTCTCTCTCTCTCTCTCTCTCTCTCTTTCAGTTGATTTCATTTACTGCTGCTCGATGGTCAGCCTGCATCTGTCGCGCCTCGCCGAGGATCTCATTATCTATAGCACTAAGGAGTTCGATTTCATCAAGATCGCCGACAGCTTCTCGAGCGGCAGCAGCTTGATGCCACAGAAACGCAATCCCGATAGCCTGGAACTAATACGCGGCATCTCCGGCCTCATCACATCCAATCTGACGGGCATTATGATGACCATCAAGGGCACACCCTCCACGTACAACAAAGACTTGCAATTCGACAAACAATACTGCTTCCATGCCTACGATAAGCTGACGCAATCTCTGAAAATCGCTGTGGGTGTGGTTGAAACGATGCAAGTGAAGCGACATCAAATGGAATCAGCCCTCAGCTCCGACATGTTGGCCACCGATTGGGTGAGTTTCGACATACAATTCAATCAGTCAGTCAGTCAATAAATTAACATTTCGCTTCTGCTCCCAGGCCTACTATCTGGTACGTAAGGGCATTCCCTTCCGGCAGGCGCATCATCACATCGGTTGCGTCGTCGCCCTGGCAGAGCAACGCGGCGTCGACATAACGGAGGTGCCGCTGGGTGAACTGCAGCAGATATGCTCGGCCTTCGGGGCCGACATAGCCAGCGTGGCCGACTATGGCCACAATGTGCAGCAATATGATGCCATCGGTGGCACATCGACGGCCAGCATAGTGGAACAGTTGCGGCTGCTTAAGAATTTGATCAGGGACTTGCGACAAGAGTCCTAGAACCGGATTGGCTTTATTTGACTTTGGCATTGGCTTTTCGTTAAGTTAACAAATTACATATTTTTTTTGTTTACATTATCGTTTACAGTGTGTTACTTATTGTTGTTATTGTTATTGAGCTAAGAATTGCTGCTCTTGCTTCAATTGACGCTGGGACTCTGGGGTGTGTAGGTGTAGGGCTCGTGAGTGCCCATCTCGTTGCCATTCTCCAGCTGCTGATAGCCGCTCATTGCCGAATTGGCTGGCAGTCCCACCTTACCGCCGGAGATGAGCACGCCCAGACTCTGCTGCAGCTGCCAGCGGCGTGCCTCGCGTATCGACTTGTTGCGGCGCAGTGTCTTGGCCAGCATAAAGGCGCAGATCACGCCCAGCAGCTGCACAAAGGCCACAGTGGTTGCGCCGGTGGCAATCAGCATGACACTCTGCGACATGATGAAGTTCATCTTGGTCAAGCAACCATACTCGTACGGCTCCACGCAGTTCATCTCATTGTCATCGTTGGCACTCGGGTCCACTCTGCCGCAGCACGAGAATGGCACCACCACATCATCCGCGTCCAGGTGGGTCATGTTGTTGGGCGAATAGTTTTCCTTCCAGTCATCGGGACCATGAACGCCGCAGCAGCCCAACTACAAAATTATTATTTCAATAAATAAAAGAAATGCTTTAAATATTTAAACAAAAAATCGAATAATTTTTCATCAAAAGTTTTCAATTTTTCCCTATTTTTTTTATTAATGTTGTTGAATAAAATGAGTTATACATATAAATTAATTGAGTTTGTCATTAAAAATAACTATCTAAGCTCAAACAAAGACTCTGAGTTTAATAAAAAAAAAAAACACTACAAATTCTTTGATCTTCATTAATTAATAATAAACACTTAATTTTGTTTAAATCTAAGTTTTACAAAATTACAGATTCGTATGCCGTATTTAAAGTAGAAAATTAATAAAGTACTTAAGCATATTTAATTTCAAAATGCAGAAGAATTTTAATTCATTTGTATAACCAAAAGAAACAACAACAAAAAATTTAATACAAAAATAATAATAATATTAATAATATAATATAGTCAATACAAATACAGTTTAGACAATAATCATAAATGTAATCACTATTTAAATACTTTCAAAAATTACAAAATATTGAAGGTTAATGCTTAAATTACTTAGATACTCAATAAATTTAAATATTCGTTTATGAATGAACATATGAATGAAAAGTACTTAATGAATACTTTAATTCATGTCGGCACATTTAAAATTATTTGGAATATTTTATTTCATATATATAAAAAATCAGTATGCATTATTTAAACAAGTAAGAAAGCTCTAGTCGAGACTGCTCGACTACGAGATCCCCT